GTGGTGCAAGCAAATTTTAAATCCGAAAATCTGATTCCACAGGTGATGCTGACCACCAGGCTACCCTGCCTCATAGAACAAGGGTAAAAGAACAAGCACAGAGTAAGATTCGAGGGGTATTAACAACAGAAGGCACAGACAAGTAGAGTGGCCAAAACTGAAAACAAAACTTGATTTGAGCTACCTACTCGTCAATCCTTAAAGAAAAAGATGAGGAATTAACCTCAGTAGGGTATCCTATTGTCCTGATTTTCATGGGGCTGAGGCATTCCAATAACACAGGGCTTTCAATGCTAAAAGTGAGATGGCTGGATACCCTACTAATAAAGTTTCCTAACATTTGATTAGGCCTCAGATCATGAAACGCATACAAATTCTTTATGGTGTTTTCAGACCTACATTGGCTCCTTCAGCACCTCCTCCCACCATCATTAAAAATACTAAATAATTTTCTTATCATTCTGCTTGGGAAAGATGATGGGGTTGTGGAGAAATGAAGCCTGTTAATTGCTGGGTTTCAATCATCACATCTATTAGTACGTTCAAGAGTCTGGGTAAGTGAGGCACACAAATGCTAGGTTAAATTTTGCTCTGCCAACTCCAGCTGTGCTTTAATTTTCTTTCCCAAGGTCATACAGGATTGCTTTCTTAAAAAAAAAAATCTTCCCTACGTAACAAGCAGAGATTCAAGCCAGTCCTTCTTAGAGAGCTTGGTGGTAATCCTGTCAGAACTCAAAGATGAAAACTAAACCAATGCTTCATAAACCTGTTTGAAGCATCAGTTCTGAAATCAGCAATGAGCTTCATGAAGATGCGCACTGGGTCTTATTTATTTTTGTTTCCTTCATAGCATTGCTTTGCAAATAAACATTATCTTAACCGCAATCTTAATCTTAGCAAGTCAGAGCTAAAAATCCTTAACTATTACTTGGTGCAAATGTTTACAGGTGAGTAAACTGAGACTTGGAAAAGAAAATTTGTTAGTCAAAAAGCTGGGCTGAGATGAACTGTATTAAATGGGAGGTGAGCTCTTCCCAATTAATGTGAAAAAAAAAACCCAACTACCACCACAAGGCTGTAGGAAAGAAATGAGACATCATTAAAGGGAGGGGTATTTTAACTATAATCCAGGTGATCTGCCAGGGGTCTTCAGAGATCTCAAGTGTAAGTGAAAAAAGAAAGCAAATAATTTAAAAATCCCATGCAAAATAAATGAGCAACTGCGCAAGTAGAAAAGACAAAATATCTTTACCGTGGGGAGAGGAGGAAATTTCTGCCATGACATGTTGAAATTTTCAGAAAAACTGAAGAAATTTTAGACTAAATATTTTATAGATATTTTCCAGTCAGTTAAAGTTTCTATTTAGATTAAGGCCAATTTTTTTTCTTAACATAACAGAAATATGACATGATTGCATTCAACCAAGATCCCTGACCACCTACTATAGGCCATTCACTGTGTGAGGTCATCAGACCTACAAAACAATGCCATATTCTCAAGCAAGAAAGAGTGAAGCCAAGGAAAAGGTGAGCCAGCCTCCTAACAATACGTACCAACATTCAAACATTCAAAATGTCAAGACCTGACAGAAAAATTCCAGTGAAAATCTCCAAGCATCAATCCAATCTCTCTACTCAATGCATAACCAAATCAACTGATAAATCAGCCAAGTGTTTTCAAGCATCTGTCACCTGCTCAGAAGAATAAGCCTTTCTTTAAGTTCAAAATGTAGGAGGTAAGAGAATAAGAGACAGATAGGCAGATAGATAGATTGGCAGATAGGTAGGTAGGTAGATAAACAGATAGATTAAGAAAAATAATAATGGAGGTGGTATAAAGTGTAGCCAAGTAACTTGGGCAGGCCCAACCATTTTAGATTGGAAAGGGACAGGTAGAAAAGGCAGTTTAAGTGGAGGGACCTAAACTGGCTTTGAGGCATTTGATGAGCAGAGTGTAAGTATGTTAGAGCTGTGAGAAACAGTGATGGCAATGGCACCAAGATGGAAGGGGTTAAAGTGTGCTCAGATGACAGGGAACCAAACTGTGTGGCTGGAGCAGAGGCTTCAGGTGGGAAGCCCTCACTGACAATAAAAGGGAAAAGGCACACTGGAACTAGCCTGCAGAAGAGTCCTCTATTCCAAGATTGGGAGTCTGGTGAAAGCACTACACAGCTGTCTAAGTTGCCCCATTTTCAAACCATTTTTTTCAAAAGAGGTATAATTTGATCCTTCAAATTTGTTATGGCTAAATGTAAGCAGATCAGCTTTAAAGTTACATGATTTTTAAAATATCTCTGTGCATTCACAGTTCTCCAGTGGAATCTTAAGACCAAGAACAAGTGAGCAGATGTCTGCAGACTTGAAGACTAAGCTGAGGGTCCCCAGCAGTCATTTTCCAAGGAATCTGGGCAAAACACACTTTCTTTTGCCTGAATGGAAACAGCATCTACAAAATTCCTTGTAGTTCTTTAATTTAAAAAAAAAAAAAAAAAAAACCAGCAAAACAGAGCTGAAGCTATTCTAAAGTACAGCTTACACAAATACTGTAGCATATTTAAAGAAAAACAAATAAATAAAAACAGTAGAATAAAAAGAATACTTTAATTGAACATATATTTATTGCTCATTTAGAAAAATTTTATCCATCTTAAAATTTTTCCTTAAAATCATGTTAGGAAATCCTTTATAATCATGAATATATTCTCATTTAAAGAAAGCATGAAGTTCTTAGAAATAATTGAGCACTAACCACTTACAAGGACTCTTTTTCTTTTACCTTTTTTTGTCACTCAAGCATGCTGTTTTAGAACGGCTGCTTTGCAGAGATATCTCATCATAGGTAACTGAGTTGCTCTCCAGAATATAGTTGCAAAGCAACATCCTAGTATTTACACTAATATCCAGGCAGTCAAGGGAAAGACCCTTTTGTTTGGTTAGTGTTTCTAAATTCCAAGGGGTTTGTGTGTGTTTAGGGTGTCCTACTATTTTTTTTTTACTGCTCACATAAAGCAATTACTAAAAAAAGAGCTTATGACTTGGACATGCCCCGAGTTCAATTCTTCCAGTAGTGGTAAAAACAGTCAACAGAGCCCTAACCTCCTTTCTATCCTGACCATACAATAGTTTTCAAAGAGGTTTAGTCCTACTATGAAAGACTCATGTTAGACATTGGAAGGGTCTCATAGAGAATGAGCACCAGGCCTTGAATAAACAAGAGAGATGGTGACCTTTTGCTCCCTTCTGCTGAAAGCCCAGCACATCCTGTAGCAGAGGACCAGAAAAAAAGTTGATGTACAACCAGGTGCTGCAAAATCCTTGCCTCTGGGTTTCTGCCACACTTTGTTCCTTAAACAGTCTAAACCTCGACATGACTTAAATAGTATTAGGGAGTGAGAGAAAAGTACAATTCCTGGAACCAACTGTTCCACTGTCCCTTATTCCTTTGTTCCCCATATTGTTTGAGTCCTGAAGCATGCAACACACGTTTCACTAGCAACAGGCAAGACAATGGATCTAGCAGTAGCTGGACAATTAGTCCCAATTAGGCCTATTTCCCAGCTGAATGTAAAGGGGGTAGTGGGGTGAGGTGTGGGGAAAAAAAAAAAAAAAACTACAGAAATTTTAAAGAAATATTTCAGAATGAAGGCTAGCAATACAATGTAAAGCAAATTGAACTGGGGGTCAGGAATCTCAGACAAATTTGCTGTGTGGCATTGCAAATACTTTAACCTCTCTGTTTTTTCTGTTCTTATCTATAAATATGAGCAACCAACCGCCAGCCCTCAGAGGCTCTGAAGATCTGATGTCAAATTGTGGTTGAAAGTGCTCTGAAAACTTGCAATGCTACACAGACGTATGGGATTCCTCCTGAGCTGTATTTGAAACCACAGATACCCATCCGATTTGTAAATCATTTACCTTTTATTCTCCCTAGCAGAAGTCAGTAGTTAGTGCTTTTCTTTTTTTTCTACTTTCTTGATTGCTAATTTTGTTAAGTTCATGAGCGATACTTACATATGTACATGTGGAGGCTGGAATCTGCTCTGGTTAATGTTGTAGTGTGTGAATGCCTGGGTGGGGTTTGAGCTGTACTCATCCACCGTTACAGTAACTTTGCCTTGAGAAGGAATCCCATGTGCCATCCTTCCTCCCTATAGGCATGAGCAATTCACAACTTTACAGAGCAAAAGATGGAAGCAGGCATGGTGCGTTTCAGCCAACCTCTGAATCCAAGGATCTACTCATCAATACCGCTGTGCATTTCTGAAAGAAAAAAAAATACGTATATAAAATAAGAACAAAGAGAAAGAGGGTGTTCTGAGAGACATTAAATTTGACATCTAGATGTGAAACTAGTTCAGGGAAAATCTGAACATGTGTTGTTGGCTCATGGATACAACTGTTCCCAACTCTCTTCCCTTCGTGCACTTCAAAGCAGATATTACACTCTATACATCATTGCCGGGTGCTAGCAAATCATCTCAATGGACTTCAAACTAAGATTTCCTCTTTAATTATAATTATGGCACTTAACGTGAATTACGGAAGGGGCATATCCACAGTTGCCATGGTATCTGACTATACATGGTTTGTGCACAAAGTGAAGAATCTTCCAAACCTTCCCTGCTAATTGGAATGTTTGGTCTTTACAAAGTTGGTGTCACATAATGATTTGAAAGCTCCATGTTTAAAACAGCCATATAACACAACAGAGAAGAATTTTAAATGTCGTGCTTATAACAAATACACGTGTATAACTATAATACACACATAATACCCACACATTACACATATTTTCTTCTTTCACAAGCGGCTCCCAAAATACATAGGTAGGCAATGCTTGGCATTCCTCTCTGGCCCAGAACCTTATGGTAAGGCAAATCCTTGTTAAATGTAGTGTCATTTCTTTCAACACTCCAGTCACTCTGGGAAAAGCCAAACACCTCCAGGTCTGGACCACCACTTTGAATGTATTCATTACCTCCCCTCTTCAAGCCCCAATGGAGCGGTAAAGGAGGGCGGCCGTTACATCTGCCACCTCATTCTTGGTGCAACATAATTCTCAGTAGTTGGTTTCATTTTTAAAAAAATTCCATTAGTTCTGATTTTTTCATAAATGTCAATATATTATTTGCTACACTGGGTTGAGAAATGAAGATACCTATTTTTATGGTAGGTGTGCAAAGGCTGAGGAAAGCAAATTCTCATGTCCAAGTTGTTGAAATTGATCAGTGCGGTAGACAAGAAGCCGTAGTACCCTCCTTGAATAACCCTTAGGTAATCCATGCTCTTGCTTTAAGTGCTCCAAATCAGAAGAGGTTTGCCGTGTGCACCATTAAGCTCTGAGAATCTTAGCTGCTATTTCAAATAAAAATATTTACAATAATAAGATTAGATTTAAATTTGGCATGAAACACCTTAAATATCGAGCAAAAGGCAGATGGCCTGCCATAGGCCATTTATTTTATTATTTTACAACCTGGGGCTTGTGTAGTCCTCCATATGCTAGCTGGGCTAAGAAATTCCAGAGTGTTCTACTCAAATCATTGCCTTCTTCCTATTCACAAAGCAAGCTAAATCACACCCACCTTGCCTGCCTTCCTAATGTACAAGTGCACTGCCAAGAGATGAATCCCCGTGCTCTGGCATTTTGAACAAAGTGTCACTTTGGGTTCTCCCTCTTTTTCCTGACTTCATGGGAGGTATGAGTCTTTTAAGGGCTAGATGATAGACAACCAGGCTGGCAGGATTAACTAAATTAAAATCTTTCCCTGCTCCTCTGATGTAAGATATCTATAAGAACTGCTTACAAATCATAATGTAGCAGTTTTCATACCAAGTTTGCAGCTGTTTCCTTAATTTCCCCCACAATTATATTTTACTGTTATTTTGCATAACAGTAAAACACAACACCTGCTTCAAATTGCAGTCCTGTTCTAAGTACTGTAATTCTCTTTTGAGACACAAAGTACCGAGACACTACTGAAGCGCAAAACTGCATAATTGCATGGCGCTGAAAAGTAAATACAAATGAAAACATCTTCCTGTTATAGAAATGACTGTCATTAAAAAGAATGTTAGCCATCAAAGCACAGAGGGGGAAAAATACACATTTTCAGACTGTGAGAACTTAGTGTTTGCATAAATTAGAGAGTGGTGTAAAAATTACTTGACAATTCTTATGTTCCTTCTTCCATCAATGTCTATTGTGTGAAATACTGAACATTAAGAAGCAAAGGAAATAAAATTCATGTCTAGACCACTGTGACCTCTGAGTAACCATCTCTGCACCCAGTGCTAGAAACACTTTAAATATCTCTGGAGTAAACACTCTAATTAAACCAAGTAAATGTGGCCTAGAAATAAAATATACATACCTAATATTTAAACATCTATGCAATGACTTGTAGCAGTTAGCATGATACCCACCCAAGTTCTACTATTTGAAGCTAAGAAGAGACAGAACTTAGCAACTGATCAATTTGCACTCCTAGATGATCCGCTTGATCCTAAAGTCATCCTTCTCTATCAGTGAACATCTATACCTCTTTGCACCTTTGCCTCAGTAAGACAAATAGAACATCTTTTCATCAGCAAGCACAGGCCCCTGTAACTCTGAAAGGCTAAATGGGTGGCTGGCACCTCATTTGAATTCATCTTTGCCATGTTCCCTTTCAAATGCTTTATCGAAACAGTGCACCTGCAGCGTCTATCTTCTTTAATCTGGAGTCCTTTGAAGAAAATGTCAGACTGAGGCAGAGAGCTTCAAAACTTTCCCAGCACCTTTACAGACAAGTCAAGAAAAGGCTTATTTTTTAAAATGTTATGTTCACTCCCACCCAAATCTCAAAATGAACATATCCTAAGAATTTTAAACACAAACACCTGGAAAAGAATTTTTTTTTTTTTTTTTTTTTTTTTTTAAACACTCGGGGACAAGGGACAATGGACAAAACCACCTCCTATAACCTGAGAAATTTGGAGAGAGCATGAAACAAGACAGAAAGATACACTGCCTAAAACTATCAAGAAGCTGTATATTTAGGCAGTAAAACTTTCCAAATGATCAGATTTTGGTGCATCTCACCCTCTTCACACTTACTTTAACTTTTTACACAAAATATTTAAAGAGAGCACTATTCTTTGCACAAATTTTCATTTTATACTTCAACACACTTGCTCCACAAAACAAAGGAACCCACTACTAAATATCAAGAAGCCTAAGGAAAATCTAAAAGGGGCTGACACTGCCAAACAGTCATGCTGGTACTAGCTTCATTTTTCTCTTTAAAAAAAAAAATCATGTGAGTACATTTTGCATTTCGTAGACAGCAATCACTTCTGTCCTTTAAACTGTACAACTAGCAATATTCTTTTCCAGGAATCTGGTTGGAGAACCTTTTAAAGTCGGCTGGCAATGAAGGGATTAAAAGCTGAGGAATTAAATAGCTGTCTCCACCTCCTAGACACCAGAAGTCTAATTTTCCAAACTTTCAAAGCAGCAACTCATGACCTCTCTATCCGTGCACTGCCCAGCACAGCCTATGAGAAAAGAGCCCGCGGTTTCCTCGTTTCAGCAAGGATGCTCATTTTAATCACTTGCCCCAAGATCTTCCGACCGAGCCTGGCGGGACTTTGGAACTTGCCTGCTCCAATTCCGTCAAATTTCACTCTCTCCTCCCTCTGCCGCGCTGATCCAGTGCGTTCTTAACTCACGCCCCTACTCTTTTATGCCCACTTCCAGTGACTCATCCCTGTATCTGGGAGCGATGCCCACACGCCTTCCCGGAGGGCTTCTCCGCCAGGGTTTTTTGGGGGGATGCTGACATAAAGTTTCACGTGCTCTGTCCACCAAGCGCCCTCCCTCCCGTCGCACTTACACCTGAACTTGTCTCCAGCACTGCGGACACCCGGCTGACACATTCCTTCGGAGAGGGAGGGCAAGACTTTTCTCCCGAGCCTCTGGTAACTCGTGGAGTCTATATAAGGTGGGGCGGTGGGGGGCGCGTAATTCTCTACTTTGGATTGGTTTGTTTGTTTTAAATCTAGGGTGGGCAGTTGCGGGGTGGGGGGTGCTTCATCAACCACACACCACACACACACACACACACACACACACACACACACCACACACACACACACCACACCACACACACACACACACACACACACCCTCGCCCTGCCCTTCCAGGCTCACGGCCGGCTCTTCTCGGCTACAACTCCCCCTTCCTTCCTGGAGCACCAGAGCCTTACTCTCTCAGTCCCCCGTCGCCACCTCCGTCCCCTCCGCAGCCGCCGCTCCAGCCGGCCCAGCCGGCGCTAGCGCTCGCGGCCCCGGGCTCCGCTGGACACCCGTCTTCTTCCTCTCCCTCTTCCCTAGCTCTGGATTGATTGATGACCACCGGCGGCCAGTGACTCTGACACCACGCCATCCTTGGTCGGGCATCACAGCCCCACGTCCCCGACGTCAGCCTCCCGGGAGCGTTGGCATCCCCGAACCCACAGCGTGGAGCCCGAGCCCCGGGCCGCCGCCGCCTCCCAGCTCTACGCCAGGGCGCTGCCAGGCTCCTTTCCCAGAGCGCCGGAGAAAGGAAGGGAGGGAAGCCAGCGAGCGTTGGAAGGGGGTGTGGAGGCCACGAGATCTCCCCTTCTTTTGAAATCTTTTTTCACTTAAACTTTTGCTTGTTCCCCCCTCGACCTGTTTGTGTTTGTTTGCAGCATATCAGATCAATTACACATTTTTCATGACCCGCATTTGCACTTAATTTGGGGTGTGTGTGTTGGGGGGGTGGTGATGTACTATAAATCAACTCCACTGGGGCATCCTTAATTTATTTTCTTGCTGATGGATTCCAACCCGCTCCTGAGCCTCTAGAAAAATGCCCCCTTCCCCTCCTAGGCCGCAAAACCCCGGAATTCAAAGGCTTTACAAAGATAACCTTGTTAAATGTAAATAGTAAAGAAACTCCTGCCTCTGTAAAGAGAAGAAATCCGGCGGCAACGGTTACTTTTCCTCGCCCAACCCTGACCCCGGCTCGGGTCGCCGGGTCGCCCTGCAGGCTGAGAGAGCGGAGACCCAGGCAGCGGCGGAGAGTGAGGTTGGGGCGCGGGGACCGGGTGAGAAAGAGCCCGGAGCGAGAGAGGCGCGCGCGGGAGGCCCCGGGGGCGGCCGCGGGGCTCAGCCCAAGCACAAAGCTGCGCGGCGCCTTCCCCCCGTCACTGCACCTGGCCTCTGGCCGCCGCGGGAGCCCGGGGATCCGGCCAACACAATGCACCCGGGCCTAGGCCAGGGCGGCTCGAACACAGCACCCCGGGACTTTCTAGTAAACAGCTCGCGGAGCCCTCGTCCCCACCCCCATCCCCGCCGCCTGGCTTTCGCCGCAGCTTCTCGCCGATACCCCCTCCTCTCCTCCTAAGAAATCCCGGCGGAGGAGGGGGCGAAAAGGTGGGGACCCCCAGAGGTCGGGGGCCGATGGCTGGCAGGGGTTGTGGAGAAGAGAAGGGGCGCAGGATGGAGAGTGGGAGGGAAGACAGCTTCTAAAAAAGAATTTGCTTTTGCTCAGGGGTTGAAAATCAGCCCACCACGGGCGCCGAATTGGCCGGGAGGCGCCTGCTTGTGCGGACGTCAGGGGCAGCGGGGCAGCTCGGGTCCGCAGCCTCCGAGCCCCTCGCACGCGCCTCTGACAAGGCACCTCTCACCCGGGCTCCGCTTTGTGTGTGCATTTTTTTCCCCTCGCTCTCGGCACCGGGCTCCTGGCCGCCTCCTCCCCCTCCCCCGCCCTCCGCCTCCCTTCCCGGGGCGGATTACCTTTCCCGGGCTGCGCTCCGGGTCCCGGGGATGCCTTCAGCGCCCGCCGAGCAGGCGATCCATCGCTGAGCGACCCGAGCCGGCAGGAGGAGCGCTGGGGGCGCGCGGGGGCGGCGAGGGGCGCGGGCGGGCCAGAACCTTCGACCCCGGAGGTCCTGCCGCGGGCTGGGGCTGGGGGCCAGGGGGCGCGGCACTAGAGGGAGGCGGGGGGAGAAAGGACCCGAGCAGCCTCGATCTGGGGAGCGAGCGAGCGAGGGGGCGAGGAGAGGGAGCGAGGGCGCGGCGAGCCGGAGGGAGCGCGAGCGGTGCAGTGACAGGGACTGCCACTGGGGTCAAAGGAGCACAGCTCCAGGAAGCAGGGCGGCCGAGGCGCCGCTCCGTGCGCGCTCCCCGGCGGGACCCCGCGCCCCTGCACGCCCCTCCTGCAGTCCCTGCCCACTCGGAACCCCACCGGTGCCCTGAAGCCCCAGGGTTTCAAGAAGAGGAGGGAGCCCAGGGCGAGGCCCGGCAGCCTGCTGGTGCTCCCGGGTCAAGCAGGCGGCAGGAAGCTGAGCTGCAAGTTCATCATCATTAGTGTGATCTGCGTAAAAAATGATAGAAGGGAGGCGGGCTAAGGTGCCCCAGGAAAATAAGGGAGCTTTCCCTCAAATGGTGTTCTTCTGCAAAGAGAACACCCAGGTCCCCCCACCCACCGACCTGCCAGGCTCTGTCAGGAGTCCTGGCACCGTTCCAGGACGCAGGGCTCACCGCGGGGGTAAGGGGAGCGGCTGGGACATTTCACTCAGACCTAGGAAGGCGACCCTAGGTTCCCTCCCATCTGCTGAGGCTTTCCTTGGGGAGAGCTGTGCTCCTTTTACCCCAAGCCTTTCAACACGCCAGACACACACACACACACACACACACACACACACACACACACACACACACTCACCTCTTTCTCTCTGCAATGTTGTTGCTGAGAAAGAAAAGGCCAACCCAGCTGATCATTTTTTTCACCTCCGTGAATTAAGGCAGGTTCAGGACAGAAAGGTGAGGAGAGGCAAAGACTCTAATTGTTTCCATTTCCGTCTTTTGGATAAAATTTTCCTCAAAAGATAAGTACTTCAAAAGCATTTTAAAAAATTAAAGTTAGTCCAGTTTTGTCTGCTACTTTGAAAAATGGAAGAAAAGGTTTTCAGAATTGTATGCAAACAGCACAAGGAAAGGAAATGCCGCTGAAATGCTGGAAGACAGAAGACAAGGGAGAGAAGGCTTTTAGAAAACTTGGTTGGCAGGATTGTCTGTGAAAGATGAGGTGGCCCTGTGATGTTATGTCATTGTCATTGCTGAAAGATTGGGACAGCAACCAGATCTAATTCCTTTCTAGGAGTCAGACTGAAAGATCTGTGCATTCTCCGAAGGGAAATCCAATGTATATGCGTGTGAGAGAGAAGTATGCTAAGTCTACACTATGTGACAACTGACTAGACATCCTGGCTGAAATTATATCCCCTAAAAATAAAAAGGAGCCATTGCAACCTGGTCTATGGCCTCTGTGCTGAGACTAATTGGTTTCCAGGGTCTGAGGAGGAAGGGAGAGAGGCTTGTAGGAGCCCCTATAAAAAAAAGATCAAACGGAATTCACTTGAAAATATTTCCCTTTTACAATGGGCTTTCCTGGCACTTGAATTTTAAGTAACCCATCTCTTATGCCTAGGCTGAAATGAAAGGGGAAATGGTCTTACTAATGTATTTATTTTATTTTACAGCATGACCAGAGTGTCGGTCCTTGTCAAACGTGCTGGAGTGGAAAGGACAGTGTCTTTCCTTGCCCAGCACAAATCAGAACAAGTGACGTTGACATTAAAGGGTGCCAAAGATGGGGTGTAGGAACACCTTTAAATTTTGTTTTCTTTTGTCTTCTCGCCCATCAGCACACACTGACTAGAATCACGTTTTTGAAGAAATGCTTGGTTTTGTTTCTCTTACTCTGTGACTAAGTAGTACATTCCTCATATCTAAATGTTTTGAATTTTTAGACTGATTTGGGCTGATTAAATCAGTTAAAAAAA